CATTTCCCTAAAGGCTTTCCCTCCCCTCCCACATGGACAATAAAGGCAATCAAAAGATGACTTGAATTCATCAAAGTCCTACGTATTCCCGACGCAATCTGCACTCGGGTATGTTCCTGCACTATGTCATTCATGTATCAAACTCCAAACCGCGCTTGACTACCCTGAGCGCCGTGATCGCACAATCTCACTTCTGAGCTTCAGCGTGCACTCGCTGAAAACATTCATTTAGTTGGCAGTTACTTCAGTAAAACACAAACAAGACAAAACCATTCTGGCTCTTGGGACTTGATGCAATAAGCTTTATTTCAAGTGAGTGGCCCGGGGGAAAGTACTTTTGATGTGCAAAACGGAGGAGTCCCAGGTTCACCCTTAGCTTGATGGAAAGGTTTAAACCTTGTTACTGGAATAGTCCCAACCAGTACCAGGCACCTCTTTACAGGGGATTCTTCATTCACTGAGCTTTCAGTTTTGGGAGAGTTTTACATTGATCTCATGCTCAGGAAATTCGGACTTCACTCTTAGGCTGGATTTAGAAGAAGTTTAAGTGCCCAATTCTGACATTTAATGCCGAGATCAGATTTAAAATGAATGTCTTGTTCCATGTACATGTCAGGTGAGACACACACACACACACACACACACACACACACACACACACATTTAAGTGTATCCACACAGTATATGAATATCTATCTATCTATCTTCAGAGATGAAAGTCCTCCGGATTTTCCCAGAATTCCGGGTTTTTCACATTTTTATGAAAATCTCTCTGGAGAATTGAGGAAAATTTGCCTAAAATTAATCCGGATATTAGTTGACAACATTGAACGAAGACGCATTTGAGTTCGTTGTTTTGCTTTCACGAGCGTAGCCATGTTGAGACACTAACACTAGTAACAGTAGAGATTTTCGTCTCTTTATCAACACATTTGCTAAACCCCAGTGGAACGAATAAAAGACACCGTGGACAAGACAGTTGTCGTAAAAAATATATTTGGACAAAAAGTGAAACACACAGATTGGCAGAAAAACGAGTCCGCCCGACTTCGAGTGTCGTTTCGGCCGGCTTAGCTGTTGTTGTGTGTGACGTCAGGTTTGTGACGTCGTTGCGTCGGCGCTTATTGGTTGAAATCAAAAGACGCGATTGCGTACATGTCCGG